AAAATTCCAAACTTTGGCAATAATGAACTGCAACATCTCTGATATAGCATAATAAAGAAGTATAACATCTCTAATGTTAAAGGACATGGCAAAATAATTTTCATTGATGGCTCACTCCCCACTAAAATGTACCATTGCTCGATCTAACTTAAAGCGACAATAAAATAAATGTATGAACTAACAATGTTTGTACCTAAACATTTTTTAATACGATGTAGCCTATACTGTATATAGTGCAATCTCAGAAGGGCAGCTAAAACTAAAGAAAAATGGATGCCTTTCAAAATAATATAACTATAGATATAACCATAATCCATATGTAATTACAGATTTTACATAATGCAAAAAAATAATAATTAATAATAGGCGTTTTGGACGTAACAGTCGTGTCCACTTTTGTTACATCCCAAACGGCTGTCTTGGAGCGCTGTTAACAATACGGGCGTGAACTAATTTGTTTTTATGTGCGCCCTTCACTGGACAAACAAGCTGGGGACAAAACAAGAGTGGGTCTGTGAACATTCAGCAGTAACGGCCGAGGACATTTCGGGACTTTTTTGTGTCATCGACCAAAATGCTTAGTCCTCATCTCTTTTCTAATACTTTGAATACGTGTGCATGTATTGTATTAATGATGAAATGATTAATGAGAAATATATTATCTTATCGTATTATATTGTATTAAGATCTCTGACTTTGGCATAATAAAGAAGCATACAAATGTCTACCTTTGGCATAATGAAGCTGTATTGTCTAGTGCAAGAAATATAGTTACATTCTGACATTTAGAATCTACATTAAAGCTTTCTGTTACCCCCAACAGGAAGGTAAGAGAAAACAAGGGGCTCCCAGGTAATGACCCCTACACCTGTGGGTCGCCTCGGGTGGTCTCCAGGTGCCGAGGGTCTGGGTGGTCCCACAGAGACACAACACAGCTCTGTAATTAGACTGAAAAGTGGAATGGTGATAAATGGACCAGTTTCAATGATTACTTTGGAGAGACGTTTTAATCTTCTAGAAGTTAGGCATTCGATTAAATATAGATCCAATGTCTTTTTTTGTTGTTGTTTAAACGTCATTGTCATACAAGTCATAAACATTCTAATTTCTAAAGCTAATAGGTGCTTTGTATGAAAAGGGAAAACCCAGAAAACTGCTTTATCATTGATTTTGCACCTAATTCTTGCTTCTTCATTGTGCTAATGTTGGAGATTATGATTGATTTTTAATATGCTAATGCTGTAGATTTTATACATGCTTCTTGTCTGTATATTGTTCATTTATCTTGTGATGTGTGCTCCTCATTCCTTCCTCTTGATTAAAGGTTTTCAAATCAAGTCTAAAAACACATTTATATGTCTTGGCTGCTAACACCAACTGAGTTTTACTGTTTTGTATTTTACGTGTGGATTTATTTCAGTCAATTTGACGGTTTTACATTTTGAAAGTGTAATTTCTCACCACATGTTTAGTCTTCATAACTTTGTGATTTATTCTGCATCGATATGTAGTTTATTTTTATAATATCATTTAGATTAAATTATCTTTTATTTTTTAAATGTGAGAAGTTGTACTATTACCTCCTATACAAGAGCCAGTACTAGTTACCATAGCAACGCACTGTTTGCCGTCACGCGTTCGCTGTTAGCCTTTGCTGTATTTCAAGTTAAATTCCCAGTTTTAAAAGTGAGCAAATGTAAATATCTTGCAAATTATTTACTCTTAACACATCTGGTGAACAACAAACATTTTTTAAGGAATTTCTCCGAATTTTTTTGGTTCGAATGAGAGCAGTATTTGAATTGTTTTTAAATGCACTTGTATGTAAGGCAACGGTGAGTGTCTAGAAACGCCCTTAAGAAATAAAACTTATTATTAGTAGTTTCTGAATTCTGGGAGTGTTAAAGACTGTGCTATACAAAAAAATCTGACACTGACATTGACACACTACATTATGGATTTCATGACACCTAAAGATGCTTCACACGGCGTTCTTCATTCGCTCCATTCACCGCGGTCGTAAACTACAGCTGCAGCGGGACATGGATGTGTGTGTAGCGGTCAGCGACACAGATCTGCTCTGTGTGTGTGACATGAGGTCAGGGGGCTTTTCCTTTTCAGCCTCGGACCCTAAGTATGAAGACCTGTCCAAAAACAACTTGCACTTCAGAGTTTTTCATTATGATAAAGATAGAGATTAGATAGATAGATAGAGAGTTTCTTTTCATGCTAGAGTTATTGATTTATCTTTTGCTGTGTGTGCGCCTCTTTCCTACTGTCCTGTAACTTGTGATCCAACACTGAAATTTCCCCGCTCTGGGACGAATAAAGGATCTCTTAATTTTACTTTACTGTATATCCTATAATAACATGTTTTTTCCTGTTCAAATGGGACCAAACAACTACAGTATATAAACAACTAAGGTTTTAAAAATGCAGTAACTGTAATAAATACAATAGGTTTCATGTCTATTTGCTTTAACCCTTTAATGGTTTCCTCGACCATTTTGTCGATCACTTTGAGTCTCTATAATGACTTGAAGCTTGGAACTGAAATCTATCTCATTGTTGCATCTCTATCACTTAGATTTTGGCAGTATTGTCATGGCAAGGCAAGGCAAGTTTATTTGTAGAGCACAATTCACACACT